GAATGAAAAAGTTTTTTTTAGGAGTCGTGGTAGTAGAGGCGGCGCAACTATAACGACATGTGAATAATCCCGCCCGCTCTAAAGCGGTACTGAACTGCAGTGGAAACACAAACCGTGCCGAGCCGAACTGTGCCGTACCGTACTGAGCCGTGCCGAGCCGAGTCGTACCACGCAGTGGAAAAGCGCCAAAAGAGGCATCGGGCCAGCTCACTTGATGGGAAAGCTTGATGAATTCCTCCACATACCTTTCCAGAGGGCGACCACCCTGTCGCAGGCAGCACAACTGGTCCTCAGCCCAATCCATCTTGTTTAAAGGTCTGTTCATCTGTCACAGGTACTGTGCTCTCAGGAGACAAGCGCACGATGCAGGAGTAATCCAGCACACAATCTTTAATTCCAACTTTAAATCAAGAGAATAACCAGGAGACAGATAAATCAGAAACATCTAAGAGCAAACTAAACATGACAGTGAACGGACAAAGAAACTGAGGAAAGGCAGGGCTATTTATACTAAACCAAACGGTCGACTAATAAGATGATTAATGAACACAGGTGGAAACTAATGAATGATGATTAACTAAATGAGAACAGGAATAGAACCAAATTATGCTGATGTTGTGGCTGGTCAAGCAAATGTTTGTGCTTGTTTCTGTATGATATAATTGTTCATATATCTATTAAAATACTGATATTCTGGTCTATAACTCCTCCCCGAACTTCCGTCTGCCCTGTATCTTGGTCTCTCATTGGCTGTAGGTCATCGCCGATGTGTTTTTCAGTCAGAAATCATTGCACACTGCGTGATTGTGGCATGTGATTGTGAAGCATGCCAAATATTTCACAGGCGTTGGCAACGCATCGGCGATTCCCTCAGATCGCGTCTTTGATAATTCACACTGCGTGATTGTCACTCGCGTGAACGAGCACCAATTTGCCACTGATTTCGGGCATTTGTCGGCGATTTCGCAAAACCTGTCGGCGAGTGAAAAATCGGGCTAAAATCGTGCAGTGTGAACTCGGCATAAGGGAGAACTGAGGACTTCTAAGCAAAACCCAAACAAAGGGAACTAATGAGATGATTAATACAACACAGGTGGAAACTAATGAATGATGATTAACTAAATGAGAACAGGAACTGAACCAAATAAGGGCAGACAGGGACTAAACAGAAACCAACACGTGACAGATAGGCATCAATACAGTAACAACATAGAAGCCAATTATTTATGTATATGTCAAAGTAAAATTGGTGTTTATAATATTTCACTTTTTTGTCACGCACTAGAAATGAGTCTTTATCAAATGATAATCATATTTTAGCAAAGAGTCCAATGCATGGGCAATTCATTCAAATTAATGTCATTTATATTAGGGTTTGCATGTGGCCAAGAGTGACTGATGTCCAGTGGTCAGTTGGTTTGTCTGTAAAAAATCAGTCTTTCCACCAGTTTGACCAACTCAATCTGATTTGTGAAACGTTTGCAAGCATCAGACGTGGGCAGTATTGCATTAGCAGAGTAAACAGCCAATCACAGCGATGTAGAGACACTGTCTTCAATAGTGTGACATTTTCCTGGGTTTTGTGCGGTTACCCCTCACTATGCTTTTTATTACTGCATTGTATGTTCTGTTTTATTTTTGTACAGTCAATTTTTTTCTCATCCACATTTTTGGGAGGAGGCCCGACCAAGACGTACATACAGATGACTCATTATTCAGAATAGGACATGTTGAAATGATTCTGTCAAGCCAAAGTAGTCACAGAGGAGAGGGGAAAGTGGCCTGCCTGTGTCCCTTGAGCTCAGAGCACTTACAGCGAAGTCAATAGTGGAAAAGTAAGCCAGGAGAACGGGGGTAAAAATACACAGCATCTGTAAATAAACCCTGTCATTCAGAGTGCCTGCCTAAGCATTTTTAATAAGAGCTTAATATTTAATTCACCCTGGCAGGGATGGTTGTTTTAAACAAGGCCAAATGCATAATTCAGGAACTGTTACTTCAACTGTATCTACATTTAAAAAAGTAAAAGGTATTATGGTATCTTCTGTGTGATGTTTTCTCATTGTGGGTCACTGATTTTAGCCAACACACTGCTATGGCTCTTCTAAGTTATATGGGAAAATGAAAGCCCAGAGTTGGGTTGAAACTAGTTTATAATGTTTGTTTTAAACAAGGCCAAATGCATAATTCATGAACTGTTACTATATCTTCATTTCAAGAAGTAAAAAGGATTACCGTCTCTTCGTGAGATATCATTGTGGGTCACTGATTTTAGGCCACACACAGCTACAGCTCTTCTAAGTTAGATAGGAACATGAAAGCCCAGAGTGGGGTTGAAACTTGTTTATCTTGGGAAGATTGCTATTTAAATACATTATATATGAATTATAAACTCTGATACATTTTCTAAGCTTTAATATTTAGAACAAGTATTTTCAACAAAGTCCACAGACCATAGGGGATCTGCGGCGGTACTGCGGGGGTCCACTAATTATAGCTTGATCACAAACTAATTTGTTTAAAAATTTAAATATGCATCAAACAAAGATACAATAACTTCAATGAAAGCTTGAGTTAGGAAGCTAGAGTTTCATAGTGTTTACCACATTAAAATTGATAAGATAATTAAAATGAAATGAAATATATGACTCTGTAGATCAACAGTGATTAATGTAAACAAATGTTATACATTAACATTATACTATATGCATATTATTCAAGGCCAAACCTGATTAAAAAGGCAACTGAGTTGTAAAATCTGCATTTTACAGTGTCCATGGAAAGTACCATGCTATTGAAAGTATGTTAAGTATGAATACTAATTATTAAAATGTACATCCCACATATATCAACAGAAATTGCAGCTTTTGTTCAACCCTAATTATAGTCTTGTGTCTTCTGTTGCTAGTGTTTCTGAAGTAGGTGCCTGATCTTTTTTTTTTTTACCACCCACCATCAATGATTTTTCTTTTCAGAGCAGGGTCTCAAAATTTAGAGATTTGAAAGGTGTTTCTTGTGATGAAAGTCCTGACAGGTATTTATGTACCTGTAGCATTATAAGTAATAGTTACACAAATGTGAAAATTCTGTTATCATTTACAAACTTGTATGAATTCTTCATGTTGTTCCAAACCTGTATGACTTTCTAAACCTTTCCAAACCTGTTGTTCCAAACCTGCATGATTTTCTTTCTGCTGTGAAACATAAAATATTTTGTTATGTTTCAGCTTTTTTTGTCCATAAGAGGAAAGTCAGTGTATTGATCAATGTTTTGATTTAATTAAATATCAATCTGTTAATCAAACTGAGCATTTTACTTCAGAAGACTTGGAATACCAGTCGAGTCGTATAGATTATTTTCATGCTATATTTAATTTTAAAGGGGTCCTATTATGCTCTTTTACAAAGTCTTGATTTTGTTTTAGGGGTGTACTAGAACAGGCTCTCATACTAGGTTGTTCGAAAAACACATTATTTTTCACATATTTTACATTATTACAACACCTCTCTCCCCAGTCTTGCATGAATGGCTCGAATAGTTCCTGTATCAAATGAAGGCCCGCCTTCTGAAATCCGAAATGTGCTGTGATTGGTTAGCTGGGCCAGTGTGTGTTGTGATTGGCTGCACTCGGCACCTGGTCGGGAAATGTCACACCCCTTACCATAGCCGCCTGCGAGCTTCAGTGTAAATATTGTGTCAAAATCAAATCAATTTGAGCGAGATTTAAACCCGGATGATTGTAACCACTCTACGTTCGTCTGTCTTGAGAAAGCTAGCGTGTCTCCGACATAGTGATAACACTCCTTGTCTTCTCTAGTGCAGCTCAACCAGGTCTCGTCCCATTCGTCGATATTTGTGATATCACAAATCCCGGAAAATATGCATTGTAGTCCAAACGAGTCGTTCGTTGTAGTTTTTGAAAAGTGATTTCTGTTAAATAAAATATCTCCTTTTGAAGTGGACTTTGAACTTTGTAACTTCGCAGATCTTTTTTATGCTCAAACAGCAACATTACAGACTAACTAAAGTTGAAAAAGTGAAAAAGCATAATAGGACACCTTTAAGACTTTTTTTGGAGCTTGAAAGTTTGAGTCCCATTGATATTTATCATATGGACAAAAACAGCTGAAACATTCTTCATGATATCTTCTTGTATTGTCCACAAAACATGAGGGTGAGTAAACAGTGACAAAATAGTGGCAGAAGTCACATGATCATGCAGTTGAAGCGCTCAAACAAAGCTTATTACTTTATTAATGTAGTTAAACTCCTTACAAGTGCAGTCACTTACCAACACCCATTAATTAATGTTACAGTACACAATTTATGTATCATTTCAGATGGAGACGATTATTATGCCTTTCTTAACTCACCTCCTCAAACAGCTCCAAGCTGTATGTATTATCGTCATCTGCAAAATAGACGATTCCTGCCTGGCTGCTGTTGGAGTTGAAGGTCTCCCGTAGCCATCTCAGAGCCAGGTTTCTCTGCATGGTGCCACGTGGAATCCTGGGATCTCTCGTGTCCCCTCGCAGCTTGTAGTTCCGTGGGGTCTCCACATTGAGGTGCGTGTAGTTCAGCCCCGTTTCCCTCAGAAGCCTCGTGACTAGAGGAGTTCTCCTCTGAGAGTCCTCCACCAGAATCCAGTGCAGGTTGGGCACGTGGAGGAAGGTGTTAGCCAATCGTGTTAGCTCGGCCTTCTGCACGGGGCGGCTGTATGTCGGAGTGATGACGTGGATGGTGGACAATACATCAGACCAGGGCGGAGGTCTTGTGTACACATATTCTGTACGGACCACCTCCACTATGTCCTTGTCCTGTGAGCAATATTCCTTTGAGTCTGTGGCTGGCCCAGTATCGTGCCTAGTCTCTGTCCCGTCATCTGCCAGACAGAAAAATAGAATTAAGACATTAGCGCACCCCAGGGCTGCTCTCTTTATGTCTGACACATGCCACAAACCTTAGATGAGTACCTGCTAGCCGTTGCCGGTGGATGGTTAGACGCTCTGGTATGATTAAGATCTCTTTTACTAGATGGTGACAGACTGGAGAGGGTGAGAGCAGGAACCGTGAGATCATAATACGGTAACTCCACAGGGGTAGAAGGCACTGATTCAAAACCATAAAGCACATGTTCTGCATGATCTGCTCTTGAATTCTTAACGGAAAAATTCTCATGTCTTTCTTAACCTGTATGACTTTCTTTCTTCCTTGAAGCAGAAAAGGAGACATTTTGGAGAATATTCTGGCATATTTATAAAAAAGTATCAAAACACAGCAAATGAGTTAATAATGCTAATAATAGTGCCAGTAATGTCAATATGACTCACTGTATTCTTGGAAATAGTATTTAGCATCTAAGCTGTGGTAATGTTTCATGATTGTTCCTGGGATTTGAGCATTGTGGTGGGTGGGAATACTGATCAGATTAGGGTGTTTCACAAATAAGGCAATCATTTGGCCTTAAAAGACTTGAAATGCAGCCTGAGTGGTTTGATACACTTACAATAATGCTTAAAAAAAAAAAAAAAAAAAAAAAAAAAAAAAAATCCTTATATGTCTTTATTGGACAAGACAGATAAGAGGAGAGAGGGGAGATGTGGTTGCCAAAGGACCTTGAGCCAGGACCTTTTCTCTGTGCATTGCCCACAAAGTTACAGTATGTATGACTGCCCCATATATGTTGCTTTTTAAAATAAATTATTAAGCTTGTACTTAAATATGCTTGTTACAGTTTATTTTAATTGTAATAAATGTTTACCTGCAAACTCTAGACCGATGGAAAAAAGTGACCGGGGGATGGGTGTGAGAAAGGGGGAGATCAATTAATAATACTCATTAATACTCTTTAAATATTGTAATCAGTTGAAATTGTTTCAGAAAAATCTGACATTAGAATAGAGCTGGGGCCTGATGTATAAACGTTGCGTACGCACAAAATGGGCATGGAAATGTGCGTACGCAATTTTCCACGCACATATCGGGATTTATAAAAAATAAACTAGGCGTAAATATGACAACACCAGTCAAATGCTTCCTTTTGTGATCTGATGAGGCTTCTTGTCACAGAATGAGGCAGAAAATATATTCTATATGCTACTTTAAAAAGAATACATAGATTAGCAATAAATTAGCTCTTGTTGGATGCAGGGTTGCCAAATCCGCGTTTTTTCCACATAATTGAGCTACTTTTAAACTGTTGCCATGGGTTGATTTTCCCAAGTGGGTTAAAGGTTTGAAATATTGCATAAATTACATTTGACTGAAATGCTTGTATTGAAACAGTTTGCATTCTACCTATGATAAAACTTGGGCTTCTACATTAACTGTTCCCTCCTGGTGGAATGACCTGCCCAACTCATTCCAAGCAGCTTGTCCTTAATATTTCCAAGAAAGAAAACACATCTCTTTCATCTTCATTTGACCCTCTAACTCTAGCATTCTCTATTCTAATGCTACTTCTAATGTTATCTGCTTGTTTTTTTTAATGAAAAAACTTGACCCTCTAACATTTGCACTCTCTATTCTATTTCTGTTCTAATGGCCAATCCATCATTTTTGGGGGGAATTTTTTTAAAATTTTTTTGAATAAGTATCGGTTCAGGCACCGTTTAGGCACCGGAACTGTTTTAAAAGTATCGATTTGGCACGGTTATCGAAAAAAAACCCGATACCCAACCCTAATTAAAACTAGGCGTTGTAAGCTCCATATATGGCTATTTCGGGGAGGAGACGGGGTGGAGATTCATGTACGCACAATCTTCCGCTGACTGGGTATTACAAAGGGAATTTTGCGCAGGTTCTGGCGTACGCATGGCTTTATAAATCTGAAAACTTTTGTACGTACGCAAAATCTAGCTTTTGTGCATACGCACACATTTAGGATGAAATCTACGTAAAGTTTTATACATGAGGCCCCTGATGTTTAGGCAGCAATGTGGCTTTGAAACAATTCTAATGTCTATGGCAGAGGTCTCCAATGAGGTCCAAAGACCTGCAGAATTTAATTCCAATCTTAAGCATCAGCTAATCAAGGTCTTTGTAACTTCTTGAAACACACAGGTAGCTGTACTGGAGAAATTTGTGCTAAACTGCAGGTCTGTGGACCTCCATTAACATGGATTAAAGAGCCGTGGTCTATGGCAACATACTGAACTGTGAGTTTTTTATAAAATGATACATATGGTGTTATGGATAAACAGACATACCGATGTTACCTCAGTCACCCCATACATGAAGCAGTGCTGCAATTATAAACACTACTTATTACCTATTATACAGAGGTAAGATGAAAATGAAAATGCAATCAAAACTTTTCTGAAGACAGTCAGTCAGTTCTCTTCAAAGATATAGTAAATTCATATTAAGACACCCCCCCCACACACAAAATTTGCAGGTATGTATATTATTACGAAGTGGTTAGATGTAGGCATTTGTTTAGGCCAGTGTGTCCAAACTTGCTCCTGGAAGGCCAACGTCCTGCAGAGTTTAGCTCCAACCTGCTCTAACACACCTGCCTCAAAGTTTCTAGTAATCCACTCAAAGATTTTAAATTGCTGGTTGATGTTTGTTTAATTGGGGTTGGAGCTAAATTCCCATACCTTTCATGTCAGTCTATTGACTGCAAAGGTTTCTCAGTGGAAGTAATGAGCTTACAGGCCACACTGCAATAAAGATTCTGTAGTGTGCTTTTGGTGTCTGTATAGTGACACACAATGCTCTTGGACAAGCAGCAGTATCAGATGACTTTAGAAGACTAGAAGACTTTAGGTTTAAAACTGGTTGCAAATATAGTGTCTTTTGTGTGTTTTTTATGTTTCTGTAGATCATATGACTTTTGTTCAGAGCTTTTTAGGACATAGTGATCAGTACATTCTTTAACATTTCTTTTTTCTTTTTTGCTCCAGGGAAGAAAGAACTAATTTAATTTTTTGGCTGAACTATTCTGTTAAATCTCTTAAATGAGCATGCTGGAATGATATTGCTGAAATAATTAGTGTTACCTAGGGCTGCTCAATTATGGCAAAAATCATAATCATGATTATTTTGGTCAATATTGTAATCACGATTATTTAACACGATTATGAGTGGGCCATATGACCAAAATTTGTGAGTGATTTATTTAAAGATTTGACCATTTAGGCATGCACATTAAGCTAAAAGTTCACTTTACATGTCCGTGTTCTGTTCCATGTCAGAGCGCATGCACAGAAAGCCTCCTGAGGAATGGCACAAGTTCTTTCACGCTTTTAACTTTAATAAATCAAGCACATCCCATTTTGCAAAAGCCGCATTACATGATTTTACTGATTTGCACATGAAATTTGGGCTTTTATGGAAGAGTGAAAGCGCACAGCTGGAAAGGGGTGGAATGGGGCAAAATAATCGTTTTATCTTTATTATTGCATTTTTCATAATCGGTGGAAGATGAAATTGAAACTGTATTTCGATTAATCGCACAGCTCTAGTGTTACCAAATATATTCTTTTTTTCCCCCCAGAATATTTTCACAAAATGATGGTGTGGGCAGTTCCAGCACATTCTGCTGATAGCTCATTAAGGGCAGAAATCATGGTGCCACCTCACATATCAGATCTTTATCACTGTTCAATTAGTGCCCTGCTCTCACTTCAGACATTTTAGCACCATTAGATTAGCACACTCCATTAACAGTCCAGATGTTCACTGCCTCCTAGGCATCATACAAACTCACGTTAATTGCTTCATGATAACTTCTATGAATACACATCTGCAATTCTCCATAAGCTGACGGTATTGACATGCATTATATATGAATATATAGATCTTCAAATGCTGGGTATTGTATTTCCCTGTAGTTTGAGCTAGAGGTGGTCAGTGACTGATGGATTGTCGTGAAGCCATTAGATTACCCCAAATGCCCCATAAATAACAGGTTATGTGTACAGCTTGTGTATGTGATTTATCCACTTACATGTTTTAATGTAAGTGCTAAAATAGCTGTAGACATGAAAACAAGTAATTTTGACTTAAAGCCACCAGAAATGCTCCTCAGAGTATGATTTTATTGGAGAAATCTTCTGCAGCTGAATAAATGAGAAGCTGTTGGGTAATTTCATTGGAGTCAGAGGACTCTTAAAGTGAGGCACATGAGCTGAAACTCAGCTAATGTGTTACAAAGTGGGATTTGTGTTAAAGGGGTCACATGATGCTGCTAAAAAGAACATTATTTTGTGTATAAAGAATATCTCTTTGGATTTGAGACTTTAGTCTTTGCAACTTTACAGATCTTCTTTATGCACCAAGAGCTTGTAACACTCCAAAGAGAAAGGAAAAATTGAAATCGCATCATATGACCCCTTTAATCTACATGAATAGTTATTTTTTTTATGTCACATGAAATGAAAGCACACTGTGCTGAAAGACAAAGTATATTTAGTTAACTCACGGTTTTGTAGTTGTTTAGAAAGAAAACAAATTTGTATTCAAGTGGCAAGAAGATAAATCTTGTTTAACCCCACCTTTTTAAAGCTATTTTAAAGATAATTTTGCAGTGAGAATAACATCATGCAATTTTTTTTTCTAACGTGACCTTACTCAAATGAGCACAAATGAATAGACAGGCTGAGTTTATCATAGAATGTATTAGGCTTTGTGCAGAAATTAACAATTTGGATTGATAACAAAATTGGCACTGAAAACATGTTATATGTGTAAGAGAGACTGGTACCCTTTCGGATGGCAAGCAGAGGGGCAATTGCACTTTGGTGCCACACAGTGATGAGGAGGGTCCATGGTAACACAATCAACACGATGGCAAGAATATCTCTTCTCTTCGGCATCTCCAGGGTTGGTTCTATTCCTGGTCATTACCTAAGAGATGGAAATGAAGAGAGTTAGACACTAGAGACTATATAAATGGAAAGATATGTGGGAACCTCATAAGTGTCAGGGAATTAATGTACTAGCTGATCAAAATGACTATCATCATTTTTTTTATTAGATTTCAGCTCCATGCGGTCAAGTAAAACGATAAACCACTATACTGTCTGTCTCAGATCTCTGGTAACATTGTTTAGTGACCCAAGAAGGACCTTAAGTCTCTTTTTCATGGTTTCCTCAAAATATAACCTTGCCAAACATTACAGAAACATCATAGATAAAGTAATTCAAAGCCTTGACATAAAACAAATTATAGGTGAAAAGATTCTGTATGATGGGTTTCTTGTCCAAAAGACAGAATTAAAGGAATAAAAAATGTTTAACTAGAATTTATTGTAAATTAAATAATATCTTTATTTTTATGGCATTGTCCTAACCCTGACATAAAACACATTTGAGTGACAGCAACAAGTTTTACCTCGTCCTGGTTTAGGTCTGATGATAACAACTAACCCACTTCTTGTTTATGAATCATTTTCTAAGACAAGTGAATTAACTGAAAGACTACCAAGAAAGCAAGTTCTTTAAATTAATTCACAATATGCACACATTCAAGTTTACTGTAATGCACGATTACTACAGAGCCCCACAGATGACATGAAGACAAAAATATATATTTATTGTGGCTACAAATTAAGAATTTATTCCTTCATTTTATTAATTCGTTGCCTTGTTTTAGTAAATCGTGGTCACGTTATAAAAATTAGTTTCCTCGTTTTGATTTAATTAAAATGATGGAATAAATTAGTAGGGGAGACCGGGGGCAATTGTAAAAGGAGGCAATTGTAACACACTCAGTTCCTCCAATCAGAAACAAGTGACACTTAATCTGCACATGCTCAGTAGGATTCTCTCTCTGCCTGTGAAAAAGGAGCACAATCATTTCACCTCAGCAGAAGTTTTTAACAAAATGCTGATTTTGAGGTATGAAAGTACTTTTTAGATGTACAGTATTTTTCTTCTGCTGTCTAAAGTTTAGATGACTGTGAATTTAAACGTAAATTTTTTTCTCTCTAGGTTATTGATAAAAAATTAACATGAACAACCTATGCTAATATAGGCGTGGCTAGCTAGCATATGAAATTTTATCATGGCTGCACCATCGGGGCCAATTGTAATATTGCGTTACAATTGCCCACGAGCCACATGGCCCAGTGTAAGCACCTTGTTTGTCTGTGTTGACATACTTTTCTGTTAGAAAATAAACATTTAAATGTAAAACTACATTTAAAAAATATTTTTTATGTAAAAAAATGCTTAAAGGGGTCATATGATGACATTTTAAAGATCATTTGAGACTTTAGTCTTTGCAACTTTACAGATCTTCTTTATGCACCATGAGCTTGTAACACTCCAAAGAGAAAGGAAACCCCTTTAATATTATCTCCACATGATCTCGTTGAGTTATTCTGTTAATATTTCTATCTTGTACCATTTCATTAAAGTTTGGTTAAAGACTGTTCTTGACTCATTAGCTGATTAATGTATTTGAGTAAAATATATTAGTAAAGTAATATATATACACCGATCAGGCATAACACTATGACCACTGACAGGTGAAGTGAATAACACTGAATGATCTCTTCATCACGTCTCCTGTTAGTGGGTGTGATATATTAGGCAGGAAGTGAGCATTTTGTCCTCAAAGTTGATGTGTTACAAGCAGGAAAAATAGGCATGCGTGAGGATTTGAGTGAGTTTGGCAAGGGCCAAATTGTGATGGCTAGACGACTGGGTTAGAGCATCAGAACAGTGGTAAACCGGCAACAGGGTCATGGGCGGCCAAGGCTCATTGATGCACGTGGGGAGTGAAGGCTGGCCCGTGTGGTCCGATCCAACAGACGAGCTACTCTTGCTCAAATTGCTCAAGAAGTTAATGCTGGTTCTGATGGAAAAGTGTCAGAATACACAGTTTGTTGCGTATGGGGCTGCATAGCCGCAGACCAGTCAGGGTGCCCATGCTGACCCCTGTCCACCGCCGAAAGCGTCAACAGTGGGCACGTGAGCATCAGAACTAGACCATGGAGCTATGGAAGAAGGTGGCCTGGTCTGACGAATCACGTTTTCTTTTACACCACGTGGATGGCCGGGTGCATGTGCATCGCTTACCTGGGGAACACATGGCACCAGGATGCACTATGGGAAGAAGGCAAGCCGGCAGAGGCAGTGTGATGCTTTGGGCAATGTTCTGCTGGGAAACCTTGGGTCCGCCATCCATGTGGATGTTACTTTGACATGTACCACCTACCTAAGCATTGTTGCAGACCATGTACACCCTTTCATGGAAACGGTATTCTCAGGTGTCTGTGGCCTCTATCAGCAGGATAATGTGCCCTGCCACAAAGCAAAAATGGTTCAGGAATGGTTTAAGAAGCACAACAACGGGTTTGAGGTGTTAACTTGGCCTCCAAATTCCCCAGATCTCAATCCAATTGAGCATCTGTGGGATGTGCTGAACAAACAAGTCCGATCCGTGGAGGCCCCACCTCGCAACTTACAAGGCTTAAAGGTGCTGTATGTAGGATCGTGATCCTAATGTTATTAAGAGGAGCGATTTTTCAACTAAATTGAAATACTTGCCTGCCATTGCGGCGGTGGATATAGGCTAAGCTACTAACCCTGATTGCAAACAAGCTTTTTTTTCATATAAACTGCAGATATAATATCTTATTTACATTGTGTCTACGTGTAGCGTTTGGAGTGAATTCTGATTGTCTTATGCTGAATGCCTGAGAGTTGGCAGCCCTGTATCTATTTATATATTTCATCATTAATATATTATTAT